TTTTTGTAGAGATGAGGTCTCGATATGTTGCCCAGGCTGGTCTCGAACTCCTGCACTTAAGTGATCCTCCTGCCTCATCAGCCTCCTAAGTGCTGGGATTACAGGCATGGGCCACCATGCTTGATCTCTATTAATGTTTTTTTAATCTACGCTTCTATAATTGTTTTTCCTCTGCTAGGGTATTTGAAAGCAAATACGGGTCATCATTTCACCTGTGTATTCCTCAGTCTTTTAAGATAAGGACTTAAAAACATAACCATAATATGATATACACAGAATTAACATTAATTCCTAATATCATCTAATATTATACAGATTAGGATCCATACAAAGACTAAATGTTGCATTGGTTGAGATTATCTCTTTTAAGTCTCTTTTAATATATAGCCTTCCTCTCTTCTCTTTATTTCTCATGCCATTTGTTGAAGAAATCAAGTCATTTTTCCAGTACAATTTTCCACCATCTGAACTTGGCTGATGGCCTCCTTGTGGTGTCATTTAACATGTTCTCACACACACTATCATAGCTGATAAACTGGTAGTGAGATCTGGAGTCTTGATTCATTCATTAATATTGATTAGTAAGCTCAGGTGTTGTCAGCCCCCGATGTACCCATGCTAAAGTTTCCCATCAGTCTTTTACCTGATGGTTTTAACACCACTTTATGATCATCACCTACACTCATTTCATTAGGGTTTTCAGAATGATAATTTTTAGAATCTTTTTATTTTGAGATAATTGTAGATTCACATGTAGATGTAGGAAATAATACAGAGATCCCATTTCCCCTTCATCCACTTTCCCCCATTGGCAACATCTTGCTTGAGTATAGTCCGATTTTACAGGCAGGAAATTGACATTGATACAAACAATGGACCTCATTTAGATTTCACTAGTTTTATATGCATGTGTGTGTGTGTATGTGTATGCCTGCATGTGTATGCATTTAGTTCTGTGCAGTTACATCGCATGTAGATAAAAATGGGTGACACCACAGTCAAGAATCAGAACATTTCCAGCACAAGGATCTCCCATTTTACCCTTTAATAGCCACAGACACCTCTTTCCCTCTGCTCTCCTAACCCCTAGCAACACCCTAATGCATTCTTCATTTCTGTATTTCTGTAATTTTGTCATCACAAGAATGACATAAAAATGGAATTATACAGTATGCAACCTTTTGAGACTGCCTTTTTTCATTCAGTTTGATTCCCTTGAGATTCACCCTGATTGTTGCCTGTATCAATAATTTATTTCTTTTTATTATTGACTAGTATTTCATGATATGGATATACTGCAGTTTGTCTGATCATTCATATGCTAAAGGGCATTTGGATTGTTTCCCAGTTTTGTGGTATTACACATGGATATGCTGTACACATTCATGTACAGGTTTTTGTGTCAATGTAAGTTTTTGTTTCTCTGGCATAAATGCCCAAGAATGCAATTACTGTGTTATATAATGGGTATGCCTAGTTTTGTGAAAAATTGCCATATTCTTTTTCAGACTGGCTGGTACCATTTTACATTCCTACCAGCAATGTATATGAATTTCTCCACCCTCACCAACATTTGGGGCTCTTGCTGTGTTTTATTTTAGCTATCCTGATAAGGTATGTAAATTGGGATTTTAAAAATTTTATTCTTTTAGTACTTTTTAGCTGTAATTCTATAAAGAAGAAACTTTTTTTCATAAGCTATTTGGTAACACTGAAATATTGTCTGTACAAGAAAGGAAGGGTAAAATGTTTGATTTCTGATTTCCACCAACCCTCACTTGGAAAGCCACTTTTCAGAAAAACAAATTAGTGCCCTGTTAGCCTCCAGAATGACTAGCTTTTTAAAAAAGTGTCATTATGAATGCATGGGTTTATAAAATAATTGATATGATTATCTTCTCAGGGTGAATTATTAGAAAAGAAATTGCCATGCCACAGGGTAGACAAATTTAAAATTTTGATACAGATTACCCACTCACCTCCAGATAGGGTGTTTCATTTTATATTCTTGCCAGTAGTTTATAAAAAATATTTGTTTCTCCATATCCTTGCCAACACTGGTTGGCTAGTTTTTAATTTTTCTTATTATACCAGTCTTATGGCAGAATTGATATCTTTTTCTCTTTCAGTTCTTCAGTTGGAAGTAAAGCTGATCTTTTCACATTATTGGCTTAAGTTTAGCCAGTTGCCTGTTAATTACCTTTATCCTTGTTTCTATTAGGATATTGGTCTCTTTTTACATTTTTATGTTGTTACAACTGTTAGTCTTTTCCTTGATGACTCCTGCGTTGTCTTTGCTTAGAGCTTTTCCTATCTTAAGATTATAAAAATATGTACCTATTTTCTTCCGGTGCCTCTTTATGATTTTATAGTTAAATATTTGTTTCATTGAGAGGTTGTTTTGTATAAGGAGTGAGATAAGAATCCATTATTACTTTTCCCCAAATCCATTATTAGTTTTCTCAATGCCATTTATTAAGGAAACTGTCTTTTCCCCACTAATTTGAGATGCCACTTTCATCTTATATTAAATTTTTTATAACCTGAAATCTGAATTCTCTGTTAGATTTCACAGATTTGCCCATCTATTTCTGTTCCAGTATCAAAATTTATATTACTGTGGCTTGATTTTGCATTTAAAATAGTTGTTATTGGATTTTGTAAAATTATGAAAATCAAACAAGCTTTTTCCTGTATAATGGTTGCTTTATAATATGTTTTAATAATTGGTGTCACTGGTCTCTCTTCTTTTTTGTTGTTTTATGACTTTGCTGACAAAGATCACAGATTCTTCTAGATGGATTTTAGAATTATTTGTGTCAAGATTCCCAAACAGCCCTTTTTTATTTTGATTGGGATTTTATTCAATGCATAGGTCAATTTAGGGAGACTTGATTTCTTTACTACTTTGAACCTTTGTAGTTAAGGACATTGTCTATCATTTCATTTATTTAAATCTTTTATGTCCTTGAATATTTTTTGTTAATTTATCCCGAAGTTTATTTTTATTGACTTCTCTGCCTTTTCATTTGAGGAATGCTTTTTAAAATTGATCACATTCACTTTTTTAAAAAACTAGGCCAAACCTTCTGGGAAAAATGTCAGATTTTATTATCTGTAAGATTAGTCTTCTAAGCTGCCTCTTCAGTATGTCATCCTCTCTAGGCAAACAAGCCTGTGTCCCACTGTCCTTACAGCAAATTAGATAATGGTCCTTCTGATAGTAGCTGTTGTTTTGTTACTGAGTATAAATTGAAGCACATTTTTTAGAAAAATGACAATAGTTGCCCAAAATTAGATATAACTCAGATTTTGGGGTTTTAAATGGAAAAGTTCAACTATTTAAGTACAGCATATGGGTAGCTTTTTATTAAGTGAAAATAACCTGTAATTGTGAAAAACAGTTTCATGAGGAATGCAAGTGCCAGCCTGCCCAGCCTTCGCTTCATTACATCCAGGAGTTTATATTTATCTGCTGCTTAACTGTCTTTATACCCAAACCTATTTTAGTCTAAATAGAATAATGATGATAGAAGTAGCTACTACTTACTGAGATCCTCTGATGTGCGAGGAATTGTGTTTAATGTATGTTAATTTCTTAAATTAATGGAACAACTTGTTTTTTTGTTTGTTTTTTGAGACGGAGTGTCACTCTGATGCTCAGGCTGGAGTGCAGTGGTGCAATCTCAGCTCACTGTAACCTCCACCTCCCTGCCTGAGCCTCCCGAGTAGCTGGGACTACGCCTGGCTAACATGGAACAGCTTTTCAAGGATTTCTTATTTTATAACACAGCTAAGAAGCAGAGTTGATCTTTAAGTTAAATAGTTAAATCTGCCAACTCTAGGCTCTTAGGGACACTGGGCTGCATCATAGGGCTTCCCAGTGTGTGTGTGTGTGTGTGTGTGTGTGTGTGTGTGTAGGTGTGTGCATATATGTGTGTTTGGGAGGGCTTTGTTGTTGTTTTGGGGGGTGAGAAGAGGGAGACGTGGTCATAGCTTTAGCAAACCTGTCAACACTGCTTCTGAAATACAAGAGGCTTCTATATATGTCTCTTTCTCAAGAGCTATTCCTTATTGAGTACTTCAGTATATTTAAAATTTTAATTTTGTAGCTATTTGCTGAACTGCTATTATGTGATAGATTCTGGGATGAGATTTTCTGAGAAGCATTGTAAGCCAGATTTAATAAGAAATAGTGAAGTAACTAATATTGAAATTGTGAAAAGATTTGTTAAACTAATTAACCACAAAACATGCTTATAAGATTCAGAGAGACTTTCCAGGCCAAATTAGTGTGACTTGCTTGTGTGTGTTATAAAATATCCCAGACGTAGTAAAAGGCATAAAGAATGATATACTTCGGGAGGCTGAGCCAGGCGGATCACCCGAGGTCAGGAGTTTGAGGCCAGCCTGGCCAACATGGTGAATCCCCATCTCTACCAAAAATACAAAAATTAGCCAGGCGTGGTGGTGCGCACCTGTAGTCCCAGCTGCTCATGAGGCTGAGGCAGGAGAGTTGCTTGAACCCCGGAGAGGGAGGTTGCGATGAGCCAAGATGGCGCCACCACACTCCAGCCTGGCGACAGAGTGAGACTCTGTCTTAAAACAAACAAAAAACCATATACCTAACATCTGCTTAAGATATAAAATGTTACTAATATAATTGAAGCCCCAATGTATTCCTTCCCAAGTACATAATTCTTCCTACACCTCAGATGATTGTCTCCTTTCTTTTTTCTTTTTTTCTTTTTTCTTTTTTTTTTTTTTTTGAGACCGAGTCTTGCTCTGGCAGCCAGGCTGGAGTGCAGTGGCACGATCTCTGATCACAGCAGCCTCCGTCTCCCGGGTTCAAGAGATTCTCCTGCCTGCCTCAGCCTCCTGAGTAGCTGGGATTTCAGGCACCCGCCACCATGCCTGGCTAATTTTTGTATTTTTATTAGAGGCTGGGTTTCACCATATTGGCCAGGATGGTCTCGAACTCCTGACTTCAAATGATCCTTCCGCGTCAGCCTCCCAAAGTGCAGGTATTACAGGGGTGAGCCACCGTGCCTGACTAATTGTCTTGTATGAAACAAAATAAAGACTATGTTTATGAACTTTGTATAAATGATAGTACGGGATGCTCTGATTCTTCTGCCACTTGCTTTTTTCCACTCATGGTAGTATTTTTGAGATTTATCCATGTTGATGCTTGTAGTTCCAATCCATTCATTTCGATTGCTTGTCATATTTCATCGTATGAGTACCCCATCCTTTTCTTATCTGTTCTGCTGTTGATGGACAGTTGTTTCCAGTTTTTGCAGTTAAAAAATCACACTGCTATTAATGTTATTTTATGGTTCCTCCTTGTGTATATATGTGAGATTCCTTAGGGTACCTATGTATGAATGAAATTGTAGGATCAAAAGATATGTGTATCTTCAGTTTTACTAAAGATTGCCTAATCGTCTCCAAAAGTACTGCTCCTTTAAGTGCCTGCAATCACTGATGAGGTTTTCATTGTGCTCCACCCTTGCCAATAGGAGGTGTTGTTAGACTTTGTAATTTATCAGTTAGACGATATGTCTCATTGTTATTTTGAATTTCCCTGACTACTAGTGAGGTTGTATAGCTTTCCTTACATTTATCAGTATTACAGGTATTTTTTTTTTCTAATACTTACTCTTACTGTATATTATGGCTTAAAGTTACATGCAAAGTTGTAAGTAGCACAAAGTAGGTACTACTAGATAGAACTATGCTTGTGTCTTTAAAACAAATGGGTTTTTGATACTTCAGAAAGTGAATGTGAGAGTTAGAGTTACATCTTTCAACACAGATAAATGAAAAGCGATGCTGAAAGGCTTGTGGAAGCTACATATAATACACCATGTATGTAAAGTTAACCATACTGTGTATCTGTGGGCACAGTACTTCAGCCTATTTGTGTTTCACTTTTTCTGTATGAGATGATCTTACCAACCTCACAGGGTGATTGGAGGTGAGTGGGCAGTCGATGATAGAATGAGTGCTAAGCGCTTAGAATAGTATCTGGCATGTAAGCATTGTTGATACATAACAGAAAGTGTTGCTGGGCATGGTGGCTCACACCTATAATCCCAGCACTTTCAGAGGCTAAGGCAGGAGGATCACTTGAGCTCAGGAGTTGGAGACCAGCCTGGGTGACAGAGTGAGACCCTGTCTCAAACAAAACAAAACAAAGTTAAAAAATATATATAGAAAGTATTGTTATTGCTGCGCATAATAGTCTATTTTCTGTAGATTCAAATGATACGAATTAGAGTGTAAAATTATGTATTGGAATGGTGTGTGTGAGTCACTGCTCTGTCGTCCCAGGGCAGGAAATGCTGGTGGAATTGGGGAGGGTACACGGGACTTCTGATGTGTTTTCTTCCTAAAAGTTGATGCAGTTGCATCAGAATGTTAAGATTTGACAGGATAGTGTAGCAGGTTCTTTTTTTTAACTACTTAAAATATTTCAAAACAAAAATATTTTTTAAGCATGGAAAAAAACATTGGCAACTGTGCAGAAATTTTTTGGAGGAAATAATTTGGGGTGGTTTTCCAATTTGTGTGTGTGTGTGTGTATATGTGTGTGTGTGTGCGCGTGTATTAGAAAGCATGGACTTTGGAATTAAATTGATGCTTGAATCCTGACTCCGTTATTTGCCAGCTTTATGATTTGGGGTAGTTGACGCAATCTCTCCAAGTCAGTCTTCTCATCTTTAAAATGTTATCTCACTCAATTCTCTCACTAAAGCATGAGGCAAAATGCTTCATGGTTTGGTGAGAGAACTGAATGAATTAAATGAGATAACATTAAGACCTGGCACATGTGCCTAATACTTAGTTTTAGGATGAAATACACATACTGAGCTTTAGTAATGTGAAAGACGGGTACACCATCATATATAATTAAATCAGCCCTGAAATCTGGCAGCATTTATGAGATTGAAATGCTGTCTGTTGATAGTTGATTCTAATATAAATGTGCTTCCATCTCAGGGCCAGCTGAGGGGCCCACTGACATAGGGTACCCACAGTAGGCGTGTGTTTGCCATGTGTTTGTGTTTGGCCATTCTGCTTCTCTGCTTCCACACGTACACACGCCCCTGTGTTACTTTGGTTCATCTTCTGTACCCTGTCAGTTTTCTGCTGGTCAGAACATCTGTGTCTGTGACAGAGCCGTCCAGGATTGCAGTGGATAGGTGGGCATAATCACTGGACCCTTCTGGGGACTCTGGAACCTGGCTTCTGTTTGGGAACGCTGTCAGTCATCATGCAGCATGGAAGAGGGGGCTGGTGCCAGAGAGCTGATGATAGAGATGCAGGCTAGGTGCTGGTAGACAGCTGTGAGCTGGCTTCATTCAGACGGCTCTCGTGTCTCTCGCCACAGGAATTTCCTCACATGGCTCCTGAAGAAGTGACCATCACAGTTCGCCTCATCCGTTCCTTTGAGCATCGCAATTTCAAACCTATAGTGTATCATGGAGTGAATTTGGACCAAACTGTAAAGGAATTTCTCGTATTTCTAAAGCAAGGTATGAGATGTGAAGGCCCTTTTGTTTTACTAGTATTTTTAAAAAATAGCTGACTATGACATTAGTAATAATCTTTAACAAATCCTAAAGTACTTTGAAAGATTTACCTGGGTTCTAAGCCAGGTGCTGGGTGAGCCCCTATTCTAGGCCCTGGTATCTGCAGAGGGCCTCCCTCAAGGATTCTCGCTGAATAGTCTGTGTCCTCAGGAGGGATTGTGACCGTCATTTTTGGCTTTTTTTTTTTTTTTTTTTAATTAAAAAAAGGCAATATCTAGGTTTGTTGTTAATGGGCTTATGTATTTGGAGGTTGATTAGCAAGGGAGTGCAGTGTAGCTGATTGTGGTACCCAGCTGAGCACGGGGGTGTGGGGTGGTCACATGGGGAAGCATGGCGGGAGGGGAGCGGGGGCCATACAGCAGGAAGTCATGAGAGCTGCTGATAATTGTGGTCACAGACACAGAAACGGTGGTGCTAGTTTATTGTTTCAAACTAAAAGTATGCATGAAGTTAGTCTTCATTCTGTTATGTCCTCAATGGGTTTCTCTTCTCTGTTTTTAATTATTGAAGTGTTCCAATCGTCGACCTTTGAGAAAACATCTAAAATAAGGTTTTATTATTTTAATTGAAGTGTTATTTATGTATGGTGCGCTCTGCAGATTTCTTGTATAGTTCCATTGGTTTTGACAAATAATATTGCTGTATGTCCAATGTAATTTTTTTTACTTTGACATGATTTCAGAGTCATAGACAAGTTGCAGGAACAGGACAAAGAATTCCTGGATGCTCTTCACACAGATTCCCTGTGTGAACATTTTGTTATGTTTGTTTTATTCCTGTGGAGGCAAGAGCAATTCCATCTTGGATGCTGATCTGCCATATTGACTTCTCATTAGCCCCAGTTTCGAGATGCCTCTAAGATTTCCAGGTTATCTACTGTTCCTTGTGTAAGAACAGGTACTTACTATAAATCCTGACCTTAGGTCAAACAACCTTGATGTTACTGTACTTTGCTTGCCCTATATATCCCTTCAGATCACCCTTTCCTATGGTATAAGCCCTGGGTCTGGGGGGGATAATGGTGTGTGGATCCATTGTCTTGTCCTGCCAAAGCCTGAGACACAGACATGGCTTCTGTTTGTAAGTTACTATTCAATATGTCTTTCTAAGAAACTGAATGTGTCAGCCTTTTTCTTCAGCCTGTCAGCTTCCTTGGACTTTCTAGGGTAGGTTCACATAGACCTGCTCACCTTGAAACAATTCCCCTCACTTCCTCCCCTCTCTCCTCTTCCCCTTTCTCATTCTCCTCACTCCCCCAGATAAGGTAGCATCCTCAATAAAGAAGAGTAAAATTTTAGAGAAGTGACAAGACAAAGGAAATGAACTCTGAATCTCTCAGGGTGACAACTTGTGGGAAGGTGAATAACCAATAGATACAGGCTAGTTAGTAAAGCTCATTAATGTGGATTCTGTTGTGCCATCTCTAGACTGATAAGGGTCTAAAGTTGTCTTCAGTGGTTAACCTTTGTTTTCCCTGGTAGAGAGGTGGGCAGGATACTTTTTGTCTTTGTAAATCTATTATATGTCCTGATTTTAGGCAAACAGAGGGAGGGCTGAGAGCTTTCCTGCATCTGCTGCTGCTTAACTGCCCTTAGCTAAAAAGAAAATCCTTAGCTAAAGAGGCATATTTTGAGGGCCACTTCCTGGTCTCTGACAGTGTCAATTAGAAAGTGTTGTGCTTTTGAGAGGTCATTACCTAAAGCATAGTCAGAGTTTGAAATAGAAACAAATCCTTACTTTTTTATTTATAATCTTTATGTGTTTTATGGGTTGCAGTGTTTCTTAATGTTGATATAGCAAGTGCTATGATGTTCTTTGTACAGTGCAGACTAGGTTCTTGAAGTCCTTGAGGATAAGATGTGTTTTCAAGCTGCTGCAGTGGCAGGGGAGGATGTCTCTTTCCCAGGGTCATGGTGTTCTTTTCTTCCCAGGTACCACGATGCCTTCCCCAGCAGAGCAGTGGTACTGGTCACAGTGAGATGCTCAGATCCGCCTCCTCACACCTTTCATCTGCAGTGGGATTAACAGCCACTGCTTGTTTCAGTTGTGCACTTAAGGAAATGTGTTCCACTGACTAAAAGGTGAACTTTTGGGGTACAGGCTTTTTTGCGTTGTGGGCTCTGTGTCCAAGCCTATCTTTGTCGTCTGATTCGAGGTACTATGGAACTCTGAAAGGTTGATGGGCCACATATTTGCCTTTTATGAATTGTATACATAACAAAGACCAAATAGTTTGATAGTGAGGGATTTTTGAAATGTATAATAATAATGATAGCAAACATTACTATGTATCAGGTACTATACTAAGAATTTTACCTAGATTATCTCATTTCATCCTCACAGCATCCCACTAAAGTTGGAACCATTTTACAGGTGAAGCAACTAAGGAACAGAGGGTTTAAGAAGCTTGCTTGGCCACCTGCAGTGGCTCATGTCTGTAATCCCAGCAATTTGAGAGGCCAAGGCAGGAGGATCACTTGGGCCCAGGAGCTTGAGGCTAGCTGGGGCAATATAGCAAGACCCTGTCTCTCCAAAAATCAAAAACAAAAACAAAAAACAAAACAAAAACTAGCTGGGCATGGGGGCATACATCTGTAGTGCCAGCACTCAGGAGGCTGAGGTGGGAAGATCGCTTGAGCCCAGGAAGTTTAGACTGCAGTGAGCTTTGATTGTGCTACTACACTCTAGTCTGGGCCACAGAGCAAGATTATGCCTCAAAATAAATAAATAAATAAATAAAACTTTCCTGATGTTGCATGGGTAGTAAAAGGCAAAGCTGCAAATCAACCCAGGCATATTAACTATCAAACATGTACTCTTACTAAACACTGCACTAAATTGCTTCTTTATTCTTCTCTACTGCCTCACTTGCTTGAGTGGGATCTCTGAAATAAATGGATGGACTCTGTGTCAAAAGGGTCTTTGAATTTAGTTCATCTTGCTCTAGTATTTTGAATGCTGAGTGCTAGCGAGATTGTTTGGCAGTGGCATAGGGAATTTTGTACAGTTACAGAAATGGTCATTGTGAAGAAAGATCTCTTGGAGTTATTTTACACACTTTATTGCCTTCCTTTCTTTTTAAATTAAATTTTATTTTTCGATCCTCCTCCCTCCCCAAGGCTTTCTAAATGTTCTTTTCTTTTGTAGTCACGTTTTGCCATCCACAGGTTAACCTAGTTAGCAGCCATCATTCTTTGTATTTTCTCCTCAGCCAAAAAGTTTTGGTTAAATTTTATTCATTCTCCATTGAGAATCCTGGCCCTAGAGCATCAGGTCATCAAAACCTTAAGTTGTGTAAATACAATAAATATAAATGTATATATTTACATATAAATATAATAAACCTATTGCTGATGTATGAGAACTTTATTTATTTATTTATTTATTTATTTAGAGACATAGTCTAGCTCTGTTGCCCAGACTGGAGTGCAGTGGTGTGGTCTCGGCTAACAACCTCTGCCTCCTAAGTTGAAGCGATTCTCCTGCCTCAGCCTCCTGAGTAGCTGGGATTACAGGTGTGCGCTGCTATGCCTGGCTAATTTTGAATTTTTAGTAGAGATGGGGTTTCACCATGTTGGCAGACTGGTCTCAAACTTCTGATCTCAAGTGATCCGTCTGCCTCAGCCTCCCAAAGTGCTGGGATTACAGGCATGAGCCACCACACCTGGGGCCTGGGAAATGGATTTTAACCAGATATTATGATCATAGAGGTATCATAATATATTACCATCTATAGATGACTGTATTTTTTAGGTTCAGAATACTAGACAAACCAATTAGATAACATAAAATTATTTTAATTATTCTTAATTTGCAAGCATTTCGATTCTTACTAATACTTCAGATCTGGTTTCCAAATGTAAAGTCATCCCAACTATGAAAAAGAACACTGTGGAACCTCTGTTCAACCTTCCAGTTCAGTCTGATGTTTTTCTCATGGTTAGACTGGGCTTATGGGTTTTTGAGAGGAAGGTCACAGAGGCACAGAGTGATTTTATCGGATCGTATCAGAGGTGTACGCTTTCCACATGATTTAGGATTATTGATGTTGACCTTGATTAAGTGGCAGAAGTCATGTCAAGTTGCTCTACTGTAAAGTTACTCTTTTTTTTCCTTTCCTTTTCAAATTATACTTTTCAGAAGGAATTCATATCCACAGTTAAACACTCGGGGGTTATGCTCCCCTTCCTTTAGAATAAAATATGTACAAAAATCCTTGGGAGTTCTGTATGGCAGACTTGACTTTGTTGCTCAGATTATGCTAGCTTTGGGAGCTCTTTCAGTTACTTCCTGTGCTCCTCTGACACGCCCTCAGTGTGCATGGGTGCACGTGTTCAGTACTTTTACTTTCTGCTACTACAGGATGCTCCAGACTCGTCTTGTACATGTCCTGTTCCTAGAATCAGCTGTATTTCCAAGGAGTCTCGGTTCTTTTTTAGTAGAAAATGGTATTAGAAACCAGGATCTAGGTAGTAGATGTGTTCATTGCTACTAGAGTGTTCTTTCTTTCTTTTTTCTTTTTTTTTTTTTTTTGAGACTGAGTCTCGCTCTGTCGCCCGGGCTGGAGTGCAGTGGCCGGATCTCAGCTCACTGCAAGCTCTGCCTCCTGGGTTTACGCCATTCTCCTGCCTCAGCCTCCCAAGTAGCTGGGACTACAGGCGCCACCACGCCCGGCTAGTTTTTTGTATTTTTTAGTAGAGACGGGGTTTCACCGTGTTAGCCAGGATGATCTCGACCTCCTGACCTCGTGATCCACCCGTCTCGGCCTCCCAAAGTGCTGGGATTACAGGCTTGAGCCACCGCACCCGGCCTCTTTCTTTTTTCTGTAGTAAATATCTAAAGATCAAGGAGTGTCTTTAAACTGTCTCAGCTGATCAGGCAAAGAAACATATGTGTCTATATTAACCTGTGCATATGTACATATGTATAAATATTTTTATATG